CGGAGATAAAATTATATGCTGTCGCTTCACTGTATGATTTCCGGTGTAGCTTATTTCCCGTTGCTGCAACCATTATCGATAGAGACATCATGCTAGCATGCCCACTTTTAGGACATTTTAAAGGGCGATCCAACCTTTGTAAATATTTCGTTTGTATAAAGCAGGAACATAGAAACAGACATGCAAAACTTTGAAATAAATCATACCAATAATAAGAGAGTTTTTAGTGTTTGAAATATGAAATGATTACTAAAATATGCGAATCTCAAATTGGCAATTTAGTTAGTGGATTGTGACGTGGTCACTGACAACTCCCGTTTGTCCTGTACAAAAATGTCATTAAAATTTGTTTTTCTCCTAAGCGCTTTCTCTTTGCGAGCGCTACTCAAAATATGTTACGGATATTATCATTACGGTTCCTCTAATAGGAAAAGACCCACTGGGTCGTACATTAGTTTAAATTGGCATTTTAGTTCGTTTGTGTATTGAAACAAATGGAAGAGTCGTCCAGCATGTCATCACAGTGACATATACCGATTCAGCCAATTTGAAGTGCTCATTCTAATGATAACAACTTCGTTACCAAAAAAAAAAAAAAAAAAATCACAAATGTCTTATTTTCTTCGTCTGATTTGTTCAAAACCTTCACCAGTCGACCGGCTTCTGTGATTTGTCTGTTTTCTTTTAATGTTTAACAGGAAGCCACCTATTAAGGTTTCCTTTTAAACCATGTTATTGATAATGATGTTTTACCAATACTCCCGTCAACCTTTCAGATCTTTAAAGTTCGAAGAAGGGGGACCCATTTTCTCCTCGGATCTTTCCACCTTTTCAGTGTGCGTGGGATTTTTGGCACCCCGTGTTTGGAAACAAAACAGTGGGGATATTTGGATTTCAAGCGAAGTTGTGGAAAACTCGAACGATTTACGAGCTTACGGAGAGAGAGCCAGAGAAACAGGACGAAAGAGGGTCACGGTCGAGGCTACCACCAAAAATCTATTTTTCGAACATTCCTCAAGAAGAAAAATAGAAGACGGGTAGAATGTCCAGATGAATGAAAAGAAATATATAGCTGATGGAGAGAGTGGCAAGAAATAGCATGAAGAAAAGAGAAAAAGAGATATATAAATAGACAGAGATAGAGAGAGAGAGAGAGAGAGAGAGAGAGAGAAAGCAGAAAATAATCGAATATTATACAAATATATGTATGGCATACTCGGCACAATGCAAAAACATCCCTCCAAAACAAAATAAAACAGTACAATACAATATAAAATAAAACAAACAAAACAAAAAAACATACACACAAACGAACAAATCCCAAACCAACCAAACACAACACAATCACCCCAAAAGAACAAACAAAAACAAACACCTCTCCTACACAAAAGCATTTCGATGATGACCGAGAATATAAGAGATGGCATTTAACTAACCCCATCGCAAAGAATTTCGAAAATGACCCAATGACCCAATGCAATCTCGATAGCTTTGGGGAATCAGCTACGTAGATGTGCAACATGACAATGACACATTACGTCATTGAAACATGACAATGACATATTACGTCATCGGAACATGATTATTTCTATGAGATTTATAATACCGTCTTGATTTGATAGGCTCTTTGACCGGCCCCTTTTCACATAACTTGTCATCAGTGACAAATGACCGCTTTTGTTATAAGCTACTGAAATCCTTGCTTCTGATTGGTTATCAGCAGATTTGTCAGTGATTGTTGTCATTTGTCATTGTAAAAGAGCTTTGTGAAAGGGATCCTAGATTTCTCGAAAGTCTTTGCGAAAATGAGGTGAGAATGGAGGTCACATGACTAGAAATGAGACTCAAAACAACCATTGGCATTTGTTATCAATTGCATTTCAGTGAAAGCGGCGAAAAAGCTGAACAAAAGTGTATATGAATTGTTAAATGCATTTCATGATATGATACAATTATTATTCTTCATTTAAATACAAAGTATTCCCGCACAATCTTCTAACTACCCTTATTCATAATTTAAACAATAGAGAAGAAATGTTCTCATTAAATTTAGGTCATTGCTTTGGCAAAGCTGCAAGCACACATTAATAACAGATGTACAGAAGATAAGTTACATTGTATTTCACAGATCTAGATACTGTATCTGTAATCATAATTGTGACATGATGAAATACCCGAATTACCGTCAACTTAACTTAATCTCTTAGAGCAATCTTATACATGTACCTACATACCATGTACATAAAATCTTAACACAAATGAATTCATCAATTTTACTTTGGCAAATCTGTAAGCATGCATAATAGAGATAATACACGTCATTTACACAAACAGTTAAATCCACAAAGGGACGTTAAAATTTATCCTCTAAATCCCTGAACTTTTACATGATAACATAAATAAATTGAATAAAAAATATTAATAAACATTAATTTGAAAGAAGGGGGGGGGGGGGTGGTGGTATAAAATCGTTAAAAATGTCTTAGTTAGTGTAATTCTCATCTCCAAACCACTTAATGATAATTTTTATGATATATAATTTGCCCATATTAAACATTCGACAGATGATAATATGTTGTAACATAATAATTGCAGGGAAAACAATGTACAGTATGAGTTATGAGATATTGTCCCTGATCTCTGATATTTCATGCAAAGCTACAAAATATTGTTTTTCCCCTTTGAATCTTAGTGTAACAAGTGACAGTGAAAGTAATTTTACATATGACTTAGACCAATAAGGGTCAATTCAATTTCATACCTGCTTAAACAAACTACAATACGTTTAAAAGACTGCACAGGGATAAATCTTCTATGTTCTTAAAATTCATAAATTAAAGACCCTATCCGATTAGAATACATCTTATATCCATGAAAAGCTTAATAAACGAAGAACAAATATCAGGCATAAAAATGTAATTTTTAAAGCTTTACATTTTTAGTTTTCAGAGAGCTGTTACCCCTGACAGACACTAAAAAGCAGGTAAATTATATTATTGTAATCTACTGCTTATAATCTTTCAGTTCATAAATAATTCATCTATTTCACTTTTCACATCCCACAGGGTCTTTAAAAAACACAAAGTAAAACTAAACAAACATATGTTAGTACATGAATTATTGCTCCTGCTAACAGATGTGTAGCGGAACAAAAATATCATTCCTCTGTCCATATAAACCATTTCAGATAACCTTTACACTATAAACCACACTAAACACGACAGTATTTACACTACACACTTATTTTGTACCCAATTTTTTGGAATAATTTCCAAGAAATTTTACAGGAATTTGCAGAATGGAGTGGTAAAATTATACATGTAATGTACATGTACATAGTAGCTTACAAATTACATCATTAGTAGTATCCAATTGTTTTCAATTAAGTGGTGCAGTACATGTAATAGGATTGTGACAATATAACAGAGAGAAAAGTACATGCATTCTAAACTCTACAGTGTACTTCCAACCAAATAATTACATTCTTGCATATGAAATACATGTATGTGCATGCACATTTGAATTGTTAGAATAGTGAATAAACATTTAAAAATTGTATTTAATTGCAAATTAAAAGTACAGATTTTATATAATACTGTATGTGTCATAAACAGATACGTTTTAAGATCATACAACAACAATATATTCTCTAAATTCATGGTGGACACATCTTGAAAATAAGTGCACATTCAATTATGACAAATAATAGTCAAGAAATATATAATGTACAAATATTAATAATAAAGTTTTCTAAAATGTGTACATTGGTGACATTTTAAAAATACTATCATTGCACTGTAATTAGCAAATCCTAAGAAAAGCAAATAAGAAAATATTATTACAAAACAAGTACCGGTATATACACAAAAGTTGTTTCTTGGTTACTATGAAAAACAATCATATTCACAATTATATTCTATACTGTATTTCCTAATTTCAAAAAGAGTTTAACTATTTTAGGCATACTCCGGACATAACAGGTAGTTATGTCAAGAAAAGTATTCTGTCTTGCTTCAACATTATTCTGTACAGTCATATATTTTGCCTCTTGGTTATTATGAAAATAAACCTATTACAAAATATTGACAAACATGAATATGTCTGAGTATGTTAAGACAACAACACTGTATAACTAATTTTAGGCAAATATTGATCTAATAAAGCTATTTTCAAAAAGCATTCCACTTTGCTTATTAACTTTGTTCTACACAGAATCATACATGCATTGACCAACTTTGCTAGCGCTGATACATGAAAGTTTTCGTTTTCATCCACTTTTAAAGACATATAATTTGACCCAAAAAGGGAAGTGTGATGACATAGTAATGCTATTAATAATAATTATATTTACCCGGGGAAGCCTCATCAGCTCCAATGCTATTATTCCTGAGGGCCCTACAATTATTATTACCTCAGCAATTGCCAGGTATTCATTTACACCTGGCTGAAGAGTGGCAAATGTGGATCAATGTCTTGCCAAACGCGTTTGCGCCAGGCTGAGATTTGAACCCTCAACCCTTGAATTGAAAGTGAAGTGAATGAACCACTATACTACGACACCTCCATGACATATAATAACTGCTTAGGGTAATTTATTCATTGAATAATGAAGGGGGAGTGGTTTATTGAGTTCAACATCAATCAGTTAAGCTCATTCCACTCAGTGTGAAGAAAGAAGAGAAGCAAAGCTGACATGTCATGTTGCTTTATAATGCTGGGCTGGATTTAGCAGAAAGAGAGGCAAGAGCATAGATGAGAAAACAAGGAGAAGAAGAAACAAAGATAGAACCGAATGAGCAGAAGAAGAAAGTAAGAAAGATAAAGAATAAAAAGAAAAAAATGGAGAAGAGGATAGAGAACCTAAGATATATTGTGAGCCTCTCCGAACTAGTTTGGCCAGGAGGGATTAGACCTCCCTGCATGGTCACCAATAGGTGGTTATCTCAACAAATCAGCTCTCAATTAACATTTCAAAAAAGGGATCATGGGGGACCAATGGTCACCGATTAGGCATTGTTTGTTATATAGAGGGCGCAAGTAGCTATAAGTAGTGCAGTGGGGCTTTAAATCTCAATCATCTAAATTCATTCCACCTAGGTTGAGGGTAGCAGACGGAGAACCGAAGCTCATGGTCATCAGCTCCACCTCTGGACTTGATAGATTGGGACTCTGGTGCAGATCCAGGACCTGGGAAGGAGAGAGAAGACGAAACAAAAATCAGAAAGACATAAAGAGAGAGAGAGAGAGAGAGAGAGAGAGAGAGAAGTAAGTGGGTGTGAGAGAGGGAAGGAGGGAGAGAGAGAAAGAGGGAGAGAAAGAGGGAGGGAGAGAGGGACATAGAGAGAGAAAGAGAGAGAGAGAGAGAGAGGAGAATGGAAAAGAAAGAGGACCCCAAAAGAAGAAACAAAAATCAGAAATACAGAGAAAGAGAGAAGAAGGAGCAGAGTGAGTGGGTAGGAGGGAGAGAGAGAGAGAGAGAGAGAGAGAGAGAGAGTGCAGAGAATGGGAAAGAAAGAGAACCCCCAAAAAGACAAATAAAGAAAAAAAGTCAGGGAGAGATGGAAAGAAGGCGAGTGTGGGGGGTAAAGGAGATAGAAAGGAAAAGATTGAGAAATATGGATAGAAAGAGAGAGAGAGAGAGAGAGATAGAAAAGACAAAATGACGTAGTGAACAAAAAGAGACATAGAGGAAGAAAGATAAAGAGAGAACAGAAAGAGAAAGGGGGAAGCAGGTGATTACAGGGGAGAAATGATAGCGAGAGATGGAGAAAAAAGAAAAGAGATACAATTTTAAAATGCAAAAGAACCCATACAATCTAGTATCTTTCACTGTCAAAATTCTGTAATATTTCAAGTTCAAGATGAATTAATCTATCAAAGGTCTCTACATTTCTTTGTCATATACAAATTACACCAATTAAAAAAATACAGAAAAGATTCATTGCACTTCTCCTTCGCCGCAAAGTCTCCCCTTTGCCAATGCCATACTTCCTCCCAACAATTGCACTTCCTAAACAAAAAAGGAAATAAAATTGTGTTGACTCAGAAGAAAAAGCTTTTAAAACTTCAAATCAATCACAAATCAGGCCACAATTTAGACCCTCCAGCCTTAAATCTTATATTCCACAAATAAGTAAGAATAGGCCTATTATACAATTTTCATTTTTGCTCATATCACATTTCGGATAATCCCCCAGATCTGGAGCTTCAAGAAACACCACAATTGTGACGCTTTTACAACAATCAACAAACTCTATTTCATAGAGTCGCGGTCAAGGGGTTCTATTTGTGAAGTTACAGTTAGCTTTTGTTATTATTTGTTTTCCTTTTGGCTGGCTGTATTGCCAGATTTTTGCTGGCAATAAACTTGAATTTGAATAACCTTTGTGGATTGTTAGTGTACTTTTATCTTTTATGTTCAGCTATATACGCTTCAAGAAGAAAGAAAAAAGAAGAACAAGTAGGACCCCCCCCCATCAAACTCAAAAAGATCATTATGTTCATAAACTATATTATTATTTACTACAAATATATTCAGTTATTCTATATAGCAGATATCATTACTATGTAGCAATGTCTTTCTGTTTCTAAAGAGCTTTGGATTGTTAAACCAACTCTGCGCTAGCTGCCCTGTTATTGAAGGCTCTAAAGCATTCAAGGAATCGCTTTCTACATGTACCAGAGCCCTTTTACATCACCTGGGTTGAGAGTGGCAAATGTAGATTAATGTTCAGGCTATAATAATAATAATAATGATCTGGATTTATATAGCATTTATTTATTAATTTATAATTTATTCTGTAATTCACAAAAAATATAACAATGTAAATATGAGTAAACAAACATTAAGCGAATGTCAATTTAAAGGGACTTTGTCCCATTTGCAGGCCCCAAAAATGAAAAAGTTAAATTCCAACTGCATTTGAAAGATAATACTAATTTAGAACTTCCCGAAAAAAGGTGGGGCTTGAAAATGTCTTCAAGTGGGAAAATAACGACTATTAGTTGTCAAATCGACTTTAGGGCTATAGAGCCCAAAAGTAATAGTCTTGATTTTCAGACAATTGTACCGAATGGTCATACGTTTTATGCTGCGCAAAGATTCAATCAGTTTAATCTTGGCCATCACAAGAAGTGGGTTATTGATGTAGACAAATACTCATGTACCCTTTACAACTCTTTCCATGTATGTTATTACCAAAGAAGAAAAAAAGCCAGTCAGTCACTCAATAGTGTCTGACAGTGAAGTCTAGCAAGTAAACGGGTTTCCTTGCATAATTTGAATATGAGGACACTGCTAAGTTTAAATTTCACAGATAGGACATACATGTACATGACATATTCATAATTCCTGCAAAGTTCTACAGCATTTGAGGTTGGCTGCATTCACACACAATGTGCACCATCTCCATTTCCTGTGGAGTATATGGTCCCGGTGAGGGCATGCCACTAACACAAAGGTTTTTGTCATCCTAACAGGTCCCCATTTCTCTCCTGGGTATAGGGTGGCAAATGTAGATAAATGCCTTGCCAAAAGACATGCTATCTAGAGTCCAATAACTTATCCACTAGACAAAAAAACCTTATCTTCTCTTTTCATTACTCCCTATACTGGACATACATGTAGATACATGTAGAAAAGCAATTACAGTATACTTTAGTCAATAGTACAGCCATTTGACACGTTACATACAAAACTTACATCCACATCTGTCAGATCTCAGGTAAAAAGCAAGCAAATAACAAAATCTATTTCTCGCTATTCTACTTTCAAAAGTACACACACACCACAAGCCCTGTCTTTATTCATACACCTCACACAGAGGCTATAATTGGGCCTAAACTCACACGGCCTCAGAGCTTCAGCTAGCCTGTCAAATAGAACAGTCAGTAGGAGAAAACCCACCTATCCATCAAAAGTTTTAGATAAGACTGACTTAACTTGTGCTTTAATACTTCTCTACAAAGGACCATCAGTCCTGCAGGGTATGGCAACGCGAGAAAGACCACCACGAGACTGGGTGAGACTCTGGACGGCAAGCATAGCAAGCCTGGCCAGAAAGCTTCTCTTTTATTTATTGTCCAGTCATGATATTTTCCTTCTAAATAGGGAAATGGTAATTAAAGGGTGATGAAAGTCTTGCATAAACAAGTTGAGTGAAAAAGAGAAATACTCTGTGAAAATAGGACTTAGTGAAAATTTTAAAGAAATTGGAGTAAGTTAAAAATGTTGGAAAGTTGAGATTACAGCACACACGTATGTGGATCGGAAATTGACTAAATGGTCAATTCACTGTGTTGTACTTAGGGAAACTTTGCAATGGTAAGCTAAAACAAGAAGGATTCCTAATGTTTTAAACTTTTAATAGGTCAAACCAATTGGCAAATTGGACAGGAATATGTACATGTATACAATTAAATCAATTCAAAAGATAAATGCAAGTTTTGCGGAAGTTCTGTAAAAACGAATTGCTAGGTCAAAATCAAATTTCAAATAATTTAATACAGCAAGATTGCAATCTAATATTCTTCTTTCTCTAATCTATAAAAAAAACCCTCAGTAATTCAAATTTTGCAGATAATTCCCTCCCATTCAATTGTGCCGTTAATTGATTGATGTACCTGTTTGTAACTCTGACATCCTTTACCAGTTATAGTAAATCCTTCTCTTAGCACACGTCGTCTGTCTATCCGGAGTTAAATGCCTTTTGTGAATGGGGGACAAAGCCAGAAAGCTGGACACCCGGCCGTTATTAGCTTTAGGGGGTCTCTAGCTCTCAAACAAACAACCCCCTTTTCCAGCTAGGAAACTATTTTCTCAAAGAATTCAATAAAGAGAATTTGGATATCACCTCAAGGGGTGAGGAATGACCAACAATATCTCAATCAAATCTTGCACTGCCCATGAGAATTGGCTAGCTTTTGTTCGCTGTGTGGACTTGTCTGGGTCTTAAGAGCCACTTTTCTGGTGGCATAAAATGCTTTTAAGTGTCGAGTGCTACTTCAGATGTCCATTTTGTGTGTTTGCTAATTCGCTTAGTGGATTTAACTTGCCTATTTTGTTGTTCTTTTTGTTTTATAATCTGTCTGTTTGTATTTCTTTTATTCAGACTCTCTACTCTCTTTTTACGTATTTTTCTCTCTTCTGTACTTTCCTCTGACTTGATGTTCTTTCAATACATGTCTATATACCTTTATTTGTAGTCAATAAAAATGCATATATACAAGATAATAATAACATTTTATTTACCCAGGGTAGCCATTTCAGTTATGAAACTGCTCTTATTTCTGCATAACATAAATATGTTATTACTTCCCTTCTCCAATCAAATATGCTGAGCGCCTAGCTACAAGGCAGAAGGTCCCATTGTTTTAAGTCTTTGGTATGACTCGGCCGGGGTTCGAAACCACGACCTCCCGTTCATGAGGCGGACGCTCTAACCGCTGAACCAACTTAATATCATGGTGAACTTTCCCTTTAATTCTCTGCTATGGCTCCTAATGGTTAGGAGCCAGAGCATATAACACTGAGTTCCCATAAGACATATATTTATTCAGATGGTCATATCTCAGCCAATACTTAACATATTCAATTGGTTTTCGACATTTGGACATTATTTTTGACGCTCTTTCGGAAAATGATTTTTTTTTTAAAGAAATTCTAAAAATAGATTTTTATGACGTCACAGATTCTGTACTCTATATACCCCACTCTTAAATGCAACATCTTAAAGCCCCACTGCACTACTGCAATACATGTAGTTACTTGCGCCCTCTATATAACAAACAATGCCTAATGATGGGCGACCATTGGTCCCCATGGTCCCTATTTTCTTAGGTTAATTGAGAGCTGATTTGATGAGATAACCACCTGTCAGTGACCATGCAGGGAGGTCTAATCCCTCCTGGCCAAACTAAAGATGAAGTCTACCCTCATCATTAGCTGGTATTTATTAAAAAAAAGAAATAAGCAAGATACATAAATTAGTGAAATTCATAACTTTCTAATTTTTAATTTAATTTCACTCAAACTTTCTCTGACCCGTTCCTCTAATTTTTCCGCTTCTATTCAAACCAACTTAATATCATGGTGATCTTTCCCTTTAATTTTTAGTTTTAGTGTAGAAATTACTCTCTTACATTAGAATAACTTGAGATAGGCCAAAAAATAATTACTTTACAACAGTACTCCAAAACTGATGTGGAAAGTACATAGTTCACAGCTCAAACCAGGTACTGCACATGTTTTGATAATGTTGCACTATACACGCTAAAGAAGCTAATAGAACGATAATGTTTTGACCAAATTTATTAGGTGATTTTTCAACCCCTTACAAGCTTTTGAACACCTGCAACTCCAATGTTGTGGCCTGTAATTTCTTAGAGGGTTCAAATATTATCATTCCATTATAGGACCCCGTTTCGGGCAGCACCAATTAGGGCAAGTTACCTATAATGCAACAATGTAACAACGCCATCAAGAGTGCACTAAATGTGGGTGCGTTCTAACCAGAGCGGATTTATAAATCTTAGCGATGTGATCTTTGAAAGAATACAATTTTTGGTAGTAAATGCTTGTGTTATAGGGGGAAGAGGAGGAGGGAGAAGGATGAAGGAGGAAGGAGGAAGGAGGAAGGAGGAAGGAGGAAGGAGGAAGGAGGAGGAGGAGGTGGAGGAGGAGGAGGAGGTGGAGGAGGAGGAGGAGGAGGAGGACGAGGAGGACGAGGAGGAGAAGGAGAAGGAGGGGAGGAGGAGGAGGAGGAGGAGGAGGAGGAGGAGGAGGAGGAGGAGGGGGAGAAGGGGGAGGAGGAGGAGGAGGAGGAGGAGAAGGAGGAGAAGGAGGAGGAGGAGGGGGAGGAGGGGAAGGAGGAGGAGGGGGAGGAGGGGGAGGAGGGGAGGAGGAGGAGGAGAAGGAGGAGGAGGAGGAGGGGAGAGAGGGGAGAAGGAGGAGGAGGAGGAGGAGGAGGAGAAGGAGGAGAAGGAGGAGGAGGGGGAGGAGGAGGAGGAGGGGGAGGAGGAGGAGGAGGAGGAGGAGGGGAGGAGGAGGAGGAGGAGGAGGGGAGGAGGAGGAGGGGAGGAGGAGGAGGAGAAGGAGGAGAAGGAGGAGGAGGAGGAGGAGAAGGAGGAGGAGGAGGAGGGGAGGAGGAGGAGGAGAAGGAGGAGAAGGAGGAGGAGGAGGAGAAGGAGGAGGAGGAGGAGGAGGGGAGGAGGAGGAGGAGGGGAGGAGGAGAAGGAGGAGGAGGAGAAGGAGGAGAAGGAGGAGGGGAGGAGGAGGAGGAGGAGGAGGGGAGGAGGAGAAGGAGAAGGAGGAGGGGGGGGGGGAGGAAAAGGGGGAGGAGGAGGAAAAGGGGGAGGAGAATGAGGTGGAGGAGCAGGAGGAGGAGGAGGAGGGGGGAGGAAGAAGAGAAAGAGAAAGAGGGGAGGAAGAGGAGGAGGAGGAGGAGGGGGAAGGAAGAGTGGGAGGAGGGGGAGGAAAAGGGGGAGGAGAAAGAGGTGGAGGGGGAGGGGGAGGAGCAGTAGGACGGGAGGAAGAGGAAAGAAGAAGAAGAAGAAGAAGAAGAAGAAGAAGAAGAAGAAGAAGAAGAAGATGAAGAAGAAGAAGAAGGAAAAGAAGAAGAAGAAGAAGAAGAAGAAGAAGAAGAAGAAGAAGAAGAAGAAGAAGAAGAAGAAGAAGAAAAAAAGAAGAAGAAGAAGAAGAAGAAGAAGAAGAAGAAGAAGAAGAAGAAGAAGAAGAAGAAGAAGAAGAAATAACATTTCCTAATATTCTTGTTTCCAAAAATTAAGGAGATTTTGCAAAAAACCCATTACTAGTTTTAAAGTGTTTTTTTAAATGTTAAAGTAACCTGTTACCTATATTGTATTTTGTATTTACAGCCTAAAATATTACAAAGAGTATATCCCAATCCTAATTAAAAAAATGGGTATTTGGGAGAAGGAAAACAAACGCTTAAATAGAAAATGAAACAGAGCATCTTTAAAAGTGTAACCAAGTCCTATCCCGATGTGTGTGAAACATACTGTGAGTCACATGAAAGCAACAAGTTCACACAGAATCTCATGCATGTGTACCATACCTATTCGTCTCCTTTCAAAATCACAAAGAAAGAGAAGACAAAAAGCCAGACCATGAAAAAACAAGACTGAATAGCCCTTCACGCTCACTTCCCCTACAAAGCCGAGACTTCCACCAGTACCAGCACCACACAATAAAAGTGACATTCACCACTCGATTTATACAAATATGTACTCCAAGGGAGACTGAATTCACCTTAAATGTATCAATTTTTGGAGCATTTTCAGCGGTATTTGCCCAGTTCGCGCTCTGTTGACATGACTTAAGCGTGTTTGTTGGAAAGCGATAAAGCCATGTTTGCGCCGCTTTTCAGAACGTCGGAAAAGATGGTCTGGTAGTGATTGAGATGAGGTGACAAGCGGAATCACGCCTACTGAAAAGTGCAATTGAACCATAATTTGACTTATCTGTTATTAAAGATAAAGGGCAGTTATGGTCATGCGATTGCATTGTGAAAGAAACGGTGTGGAATCGATCAGAAAAGGTTGATCATCTAGCATATAAGTAATGTACTGCAAGGTTCTGGAATCATCAAAATGATAAGAAATTTGGCCAAATCTTGGTAAAGTTACAAGCACTGGACACAGAAAGATGTATATGGGATCACGTGACACGTGCGCGATATCTGTCACATCCAAATAGATATAACAATTTACCAAATATATCAATAAGTAGGCGGTTTCTCGGCAAAGTTGTTATCATCACGTATTAATCAAAACATATTCTTTCACATGATTGGTAATAAGAGCTTCCATTTCATCTTTTGAGAGGGGAGACGTTTCCAAAACCGGTCTTTACCTTTAAGTGCTCTCACTGCTACTATATTTGATTTGATTAATATACATGGATGCCCATTTTTCTTTGTTCTTTCAAGAACATATGAATCTCTAAAAAAGTTCTGCAATTCAAGTTTGAGCTTTCTATCTCTCTTGGTACTGTATTATCATACTTGATGTTGGTATTATTGAAAATTCTCTCAATTCCCCTTTACAACGATACCCCATTTTTAATGATTATGTAATCATGGAATGTGCAGTGCACCTGAATATGGGCGAAGTCACAAATGAAATATTGCAAAATGCATTTGTTATTACCAGTAGGGAAGTTTTCATTTGCTTGGAAAGTGGATTGTGTTTTTGAAGGAATAAGAATGCATTTTGCAACATTTCACTTTTGACTTGCCCTCATATTCAGATGAGCTGCACATTCCATGATTAAATAATCATTACAAATGGGGCATCATTGTAAAGGGGAATAAATAGGATTTTCAATTGAAACTTACAGTTGGCATAAGCTTAATTAGTTATAAGTTAATTAGCTCTTGCACTATACCAATATAAAAGTAAGATTATACAGTGCGTCCCAGAAAAAACGAAACCAAGAATTATCAATGTTTTATCATAACTTTAATAATCACAATTATAATAAATAAATGACACATATTAATTATAATTGTGATTAAGTTATGATAAAAAATTGATCATTCTCGGTTTTGTTTTTTTCTGGGACGCACTGTACTGAAACAAGAGAGATATCTTTCAAACTTGTATTAGTTTTTTGTTTGTTTATCTAAATGGACTTACCTTTGATTGCCGAACTGGTGTTGGTGTGTGGAACATCTTGAATGAATGCTGAGCTTTCGCAGAGCTGCAGAATAAAAGAGACAAAAGAAAGAAAATGAAACCATTAATGAGTGATCAAGTAAACATATCTTGTCTTTTACACCTAAATTGAGATGCACTTGCCTATTTTCAGATGTGAGATTAAAGATAATATGTTTTGAAAGCAAAATGTATCAAAGGGAATTTTTTTTAGAAACAGAATAATTCATAGCCAGAGATACATAAGTATATGACTGCAAACATTTGTGACTAATAATTCTGACACTCGATTAATCTGCATGTTGCTAAAAAAAAAATAGACAGGTCTATCATTTTTTCTGGACCACTGTGTACCTCAGAGCAGAAATTCTCACAACTCTGTATCTTCAAATGAACAAGCAAAAAGTAAGAGAGAGTGGGAGAAAACTGAGAGAGAGAGATACACAGTCACACACACACGGACAGAGACAAAAACTCAATTTTCCCCGCAACCCTCACAGCTATGGGTCTCTGCAGCCCTTCATTTTAACACCTAATTAATCTGCATGTTGCTAAAAAAAAGAAGGGTCTATCCTTTTTTCCTGGACCACTATGTACTTTAGAGCAGAAATTCATCCAGCACTGTATCCCCAAATGTACAAGCAAAAAAGTAGGAGAGTAAGAGAGAGAGAGAGAGAGAATGAGAGAGGAAGCGATAGAGTGAGAGAGAGAGAGAGGGAGACAAAACTGCAAGTCTCCATTTTTCCTTCTTTCTTCACAGCCTGGGGTTCCTGCAGCCCTCAGTTTTGACACCTGATTAATCTGCATGTTGCTTTACAAAAGGCCCAGGAAGAAAGGAGGTAGATTTTAAGATAACACCAGACAGAGAAAAGAACAACATGCATTCTAATCCACACAAGAATGGATCTGCACCATAACACGGAGAAGCTGGGCAATGGCACAGAAAAAAGAACTCGGCTTCCAACACAAATGCTCACTTACCGGTAGCCACATACTGTACTGTACACATATATTTCACCAGTTTTTACCTTAAGATCCAAAATGAAAACAAGAGAAAGAAAAGAAAAGAAAGAACAAAAATAAATAAAAAAAAAGAAAAAAAAAGAAGGAAAATAAAGAGAGCAATTATCAGTGCCAATTAGGGCGATTCCGTGCAATGTGTCACATATGCAAATATATTTTGTAGGAATATTAGGTAAACAGTGTTGGTCCTCAGACAATGACATACAGAAGCTCTCTTTCAAAGGAATACACTAACATACATGTACATTGTAGATGACTTGATAGTATGTACACTGTAGTTTGGCAATTGGAAGTATGGTAAAC